GAAGTTGGAATTTTTAAAAACTTTTTTGGGGCCAGAAGTACTTCATAGGTAGTGGCATGATATACTCTTTTTTTTTTGTCTTTGTTTTTTCTTTTTTACTGTGTGAAATTTGTTTTCTATTTTTAATGGTGTGGTACGCTCTTCATTTTTTCTCCCCCTTTCACAGAGGTTGGAAAGATGTATGAGCATCGTGACATCGATGACGACTGGGGTCTCAGAGAGAGATGCCAATGACGCCCTCAATGCCTACGTGAGTATAACGCCCTCCCCAGCCCCACGCTTGCTTCTTTCAAAGCTCCAAGACGTGATCTGCTAGATGAGAGACTTAAGCGGCCAGGAGTTAGGGGACAGAGGTCAGTGCCTGGGCTCCCCGAACCAGACTTCCAGACTCCTCTCTCCCACGGTGGGGGTCCATCTCCTGGAGCCTGAGAAGTCTTTCAATAACAACTTGAAAAAATAACTCATAGTTCTATAGTGACTTTTTTCCTTGTAAATCCTTCTCACATATTTGATCTTTTACATTTCCTAATCAGTCTGTGAGGTTGGAAGGGTTTTAAATAGTACCTGGAAAGGACTTAGGATAATAGCAAGGGATGACTGATTGGTAAGTATGACCTGTTACCAGCAGTCAGCTGTTCTCCTTACATCCCCACCTTAACAGTGTCAGCGGTTTAGCAGTTTGCCCCAGGTCTCGGCCGTGGGTGTGCTTGGTACCCCATGACTGACTCTGCAGCTCCCCATCTGCCGAGGGCTCTTACGGCCTGGTCAAGGGGTGGAGGAGGATTTTTCTCTCATTTTAAACACTTTTGATTGTCTGCTCTTGGCCTGCGTCTAGCCTTGGAGAAACCAGTAAGGGTCCGTCCTTCCCCTCCACCTCTCCCCTAAAACAGATGGCTTGTCCTTTTTAAGAGAAGGAAGTCATCAGATTTGGGAGCTGATGATTCTCCTTTGCAGGTTAGTCAGGAGTCCCCGTTTTCTGGGGGAAACTGCTTGAGAACTTTGCTGCTGTGACTGATAGTTTTTCCTTTCCCCCGGCCCAGGTCTGCAAAGGCCCCCCCCAGCATGAGGAAGTCTGCCTGGGCCTCTTCACCCTTGTCCTCACTGAACCTGCCCAAGCACAGAAGGTAAGGCGCCCTGCTGGGGACTTCAGGGCCTTCTCAGGATGATCTGGGAATATGTGGCACTTACGGCTTAACGGGCATCGTACCGATCCTGTGAGCAGAGCTGGGCTACCTAGTTCTCCAAATGTGGTGACAGCTCCCTGTCTACTCAGCGAGCTGGTCACTCTCGGACTGAAGTTCTCTGTCTCTCTCTGGATTCGGAAGGTGAAGGGCAGGAGAAGGTGGTTGTGATGGTGAAAAACATTTAAAGGGTTTCAAATTTTAGATTTACGAGTCAAGGCAAAAAAGCTGGGATTTAATCCAGAGAACAGAACAGCTGTGACCAAGTCCAATGGCAGTTCGTATCCAGAGGAGTTGGCAGGTCCCATCCTGGCAGGTGGTGAGAAGACAGGCTTAGCGTAGCCGCAGGTAGAATCTGACCGAGCGGAGCGTTCGCTGACGGGTGCAGTGACAGTGCAGTGACGAGGGGACAGCTGGAGTACCCGGATCAGACTCCCAAGGAGCGCTGTTTGAAAATGCGTCTGGGGTGCTCCACAGACACAGTTCCCTTTGTGTGGCATGTTTTAAGTGGGCTCCTTCCTTGAGGTGAGGGATGATCTTTGGATTCTGTTCTTCTGTAATCAAGTAGCAAAGTTCTGCCTTTGGCCCCTCTGCGTTTCCCCTTCTCAGTCGTTCTGTGTCCTTGGAGCCTTGGCGTGATGGTTTAGATGTGTGTGTGGCCTCTGGCATTAGCGGTATGACACGAAGAGAGAAGAACTGGGAGTGGGCAGTTTCATATTCTCACTGGCCCTTCCCTGAGCACTAGGACACTTTGCCTCCTTTCTGCCCCGTGACAGCCCCATGGCAGTGGCCTGGGCCCTCACTGGGGTCTGGTTGCTGGTCGACGGCTGCACCAGGATTAGGTTCACCTGCTAAAGGTTTCCAAGCAAACCCCCTATCTGGGAGCCTCTGAGGGGTCAAGCCCCCAGGTCAGGCCTCTTCAGACGAAGTGGGAGGACATGGGGAAATAGGAGAACACAGTTTTCGGCAGGTGAGGAAGTCTCGGTGACGGACTGAGAGACCGCCAGCCAGCTCCGGGGATGGTGGGAATGGGTGACGGTCTCCGCAATGCTTTGATCCTTCTCCCCAAAAGGGTGGTGGTGGTGTGAATACTTCTGTCCCGCAGGAGTTTCAGGTGGCACTTACTCATGAGGACTGATCCTAATGCATTGTTTTAGGCTTCAGCTTAAACAAGGGGAGTGTTTTCTAAGGGATTCTCTGAGGTTACTTCTGTTTCTGCATTGAAACCTCAGGATGGATGGAGATTCACTTGTTCCTGCTCCTTCACAGGGGCCGATGCAGACGGTGCTGGCAGAAACCGAGTCTTGAACACATGAGAAGTTTACTCAGGGCTGGCATGCAGGCTCAAAGGGCCTTCTGAGTGGGTGGGACCAGGGTGGGTTGAGCAAGAGAACTCAGGAGGAGACAGGTCAGGTATTGGTGGAGAGTGGGTTTCGTTCCGTTTGCACCCGCTTGACTTACGTCTGCTCTTTTGGCATCTCCTACGAATGTTTATATTCTGAGAGTTTATTTATTTCCTGTTTGATGTCTGAGTAGCTGGGAACGGGCCTGTGGTGAGAAGGGAGGCCGTAGCTTTGCATAGAGGGAGGGGTCTGACATCAATGCCAAGGTCTCTCCATCGAGGGCTCAAGGACCCAGGCCCCGGCCGTTCTTGATCCTGGTACTTCTGTCAGCAGGCAGCCCCGGAAAGGAAGTGGGGGCTGAGAGGGCCTAGGCTGGAAGACCACGTCCCCACGCGGTTGCATTCGGGACGGGTGCTACCACAGCACCACCCTGTCGTCACCTGTCCTTTCTTTTGAGACTCTGCTTCTCTTCTCTGTTCCCCACTGAGTTTTTTTCTCCATCCGTGTATCTTCCAAGCCAGTCAGCAAACTGGCACAGAGGTTGGTGAGACCACTGGCAGCTTGAGGAACGTGATACTCCTGGTACCCAGCTGCCATGTGTTACCAGCAGTTGCGGTTGACGAGGTCCCAGCTGGAGCATGAAATTGGGCGGACGGTACCTGCTTCCCTCACCTGACCCTGTGTCTCCTGAGAGACACGTCCCCCTACCCCGCTTCCCGGTCCTGGGTCTGTTCTGCCTTTCTGGGATTCCTGCTTTGTTTGAATAGATGGCGCTCCTCTGGTTAGTGGTGTCTCGATCTTCGGCCTGGCGTAGATTTTCCTTCTGCCTCTCCCTCCCTCGTCGTCTCTGGGTCCCCTTATCTCTCCCGTGTTCCCTTGCTTGTACTTTTGATCTCCCAGCTGCCCCCCAGATGGAGTCTGAGGATAATGAAATTCTCCTCAGCCTATAAAAAGTTTGTAACACACGGGAGAATCTCAAATGCTGGTATTTTCATCAGATTAATTAGTTTGACTTAAGGACAGTAAAGGCAAGAGGAAGTGACAGCCGCTAATCTCCTAGGAGTCCCTAGTCAGCCGAGGCCGGGGAGCAGCTGGTCTTGAGGAGCACTTCTCTTCCCACCGCTGAGGATGAAGGAGTTTAGAAATGCTGTGGCCTGAAGGCCACCAGAAACCTGCCTCCGTCCCGGCAGCCCCGCTTTGGGCTGTTTTACCTGTGGTCCGCGGGTGTTGAAGAGCATGGAATCTAGAATTGGACTGTCTGCACTTGAACCCTGGGCCTCTCTCTCGTCTCTTATGTGACCCGGGTCGAATTATTTTAACCTCTCTATGCCCGTTTCCTCATCTGTAAATGCAGAGATAATAAATAGTAGCTCTTTCAGAGAGCTGTTATGTGATTCAAATGCGTTAGTACGCATGCTAGAAAGTTCCTGCATAATGCCAGTGCATTTAGCCGTCATAATTACTATTCTGGTTGGTGCCACCCTCGTACCAGCCTTCCGAGGTCGTGGGGTGCTGCCTCCTTAATTTCGCTCTTCGTGCTGAGACCCTGACAGCACAGAACTCAGCAGGCTAAGGAGGTCGCTAATGAGGTCCCCTCAGGTGTTCCTCCAGGAGGCTGGTCTCCAGAGGGACAGTGATCAAAGCCCTGGGGGGAAGGGAAGCAGAAGCCCTCAGAGGGAACTGCGTGTCCTCCCTCACCTCCCCTGGGGCGGGCAGGCATGCTTGAGGACCCTTCCTTTTTCAATACTTGGCAGACACAAAGGGCGACCCAGAGAAAAGGAGGAAGACATTTTGTTAAGGAAGCTCAGTGTTGTTCTGCCCTCTCTTTCCGGGGCCTAGGTCCCTGGGTTCCCTTCCCTTCATACCCCTGGCCCGTTGCCTCATCTGGCTGGGTCAGTACAGGTTTAAAATTTTCTTTGGGAGAAAAATAAAAAAGAAATAAAAGAACAAAATAAAAAAAAGAAAAAAACCCACCAAACTTCTTTGGCGTCCTTTCTGGCCTGTTTAACCAAACCCATTCTATGGTGACCTTTCACTAGCAGATGAAAAGCAGATGGCTTCCACCTGGTTTTGCTCAGCTTGTGGCATCAAACAGTGTGACGCTTCTTAAGAAGGGAGGTAGGGGGACAGGGAGGCTTTTTTATTAGGCTTTTCTGCTTTATTAGAGTAGCTCAGTCCCTCCCCCCATGGGACGGAGCAGGGGTAGGTTTGGGATGGAGGAGTCCTGGGAAGGGTGGCGTCCAACATGGAAAGTCTTTCATTGCTACTCGTATCCCATTGGTGTTGGCTCAGTTGAAGGGGACGGGGGCCGATCCGCAGCTCACAAACCTCTCTCCTCACAGTGTTACCGGGACTTGGCCCTGGTGAGTCGTGACGGCATGAGTATTGTCCTGAATAAAATCAACCAGATACTTATGGAGAAGTACTTGAAGTTGCAGGACACCTGCCGTACCCAGGTAAGGCCAGAAAGAAAAGAGAGAGCAGCTCAAAGATGTCGCAGAGGGTAGGTCGGGTCCCGAGGGAGGGGAAGGAGGGACCGCTGGCTGCCAGACCCCGCCTCTGTGCACCTCAGCTGTAATGTGATTGGATTAGCCCCGTTCTCAGGTTCAAAGGCCCTTCTCTTCATCTCTTTTCCTCTCTCCTTCAGTTGGTGTGGTTGGTACGGGAGCTAGTGAAGAGTGGGGTTCTGGGAGCCGATGGTGTTTGCATGACATTCATGAAGCAGATTGCCGGTGAGTTTGATGGCAGGAGCACAAAGAAGAAAGGACAGGAGCCCAGAGACTACATCCAGGCCACGGGCGTGGCTGGGTGCCTGAGGGACTCGATTCCTGGGCCACACGGCAGACTCCTCCCAATGCAGGCCCCCGCTGGCCGCTTACGTGGCAGAAAGAACTTGGAAAACCACCGAGGGCCTTTTGAAGCAATGGGTCCTGCCTCATTTTCCTTCCGGCCAGACTCGGGGCCTGATGCAGAATAGTTGGCCTGTGTTCGCCAGGCCTCACTGTGGGGTTGCATGGTGTATTGGATCAGGAAGGGCCTGGAAGGAATGGGAGAGAAGTGAGGGCAAATAATTAGTCCCCATTACATTATGCTCTCAGAAACCCAGTCATGTTCCCTGGCTCCACCCTCATTTCTGAGCTCTTGCTCCCTGATAACTGTGACATCTGATTAGGGCCAGTCTGAGGGACGAACCAAGTCAGAGAACAGACCCTGACATTTAGGCTTTATTATCTTCTTGGCATCGGTGGCGCCTGTCGGAGCCGTGGCATACCCCGGAGGCCTGACCCTGCTGCCTCTCCTACACCCCGGATTGCATGTGTGTGCCTGAAAACGGCTCTGGCTCTCTTTCCCCATCGCCCACTGGCTCTTTGCTTCCTGTTTTATATAAAGCTGACGCTCCTGTTTTGATGTATAGAAGCCCTAATCTATGTGATGTGGGACTATGTGAACATGGAATTTTTAAATTACGACCTGGGGCAAGAATATAGCCTTGCGCTGGCTATTTTTATCCATCGTCCTGGCATTTTCTCCCCCGTTTGGCACTGCCAGTTCCCACTTTTCATGCTAAGGCTTTGGTCTGGCGTTGCCGCATGTTAATTCTGCTCCAGAAAGCTCCCTAGCAAGCGCCGAAGACTGGGATACCTGGAAACAAGAAATCCTCAGCCTGTCAGGAGCCTGACACGGATTTGAGGCATGCAGAGGCTGCACCTCTCGGGCCCATCTCAGAGAGCAGCCTTTACTCCATCCGTGGGCTTCTCACATCTCCGTCCCAGACATTCCCTTTCGAGGGTCACAGTAATCCCACTCCACACCCCAGTCTGTGGAAAAGCTGCAGCTTTGGTTTCTGGAAAAATCCAGAGCCTTCCCTTGCAAAGAGGGAAGCTTTAAAGCCTGGCCGAACAATGGGCAGCTTTTCCAGCACAGAAGGTCAGAGATGGGATAACAGTTAGGATTAACCAGCAGGACCAGGGAGAAACGGATTGGATTACCGGAGTTGCTAATTAGGTCTTTCTGATTCTCTGTTTTCTCGCCTTGTGATCAGGTGGGGATGTTACGGCAAAGAATATTTGGTTGGCAGAGAGTGTTCTGGACATCCTGACGGAGCAGAGGTACAGCCCACCGTGAAGGGCGGGGCGAGTGTGGGAAGTGGGGCGAAAGGGTTGTGTGAGGACCGTTAGGTGGCCCAGAACACCTTAGGTGGAGAGGCCGGGGCGGCCGAGGGAGATGAGAGGAAGAATTAGTGCCTGGTGTGGCCCCAGGGAAGAAGGGTGAAAAGAAGGTCTTCCTGAAATATCTCAGAGCCCAGGAAAAACTCATTTCATCTGATAAGGGTTTATTTTTGATCCAGACCTCCTTGGAATGTTTATCTTTGGGGGGAGCGGGGGGAAAATGAGCTCAGCAGAGTGGGGCCAGCCAAGTACACAGGCCTGGCAGGTACCCCTTTTCTCCCTTCCAAGACTTTCCATCCATCCCCTACTCCCCTTTTGTCAAAGTGGCCCCGGGGGATGGTGGGAAGGAGGAGGTAACGGAGATCTGCTAGAGCTTGGAGTCTCTAGTGGGGGCGAGGGCACAGGGGGCCCTATTGGGTTTTCTCGCTGATTTATCCCCTTCCCCATCAAAGGACCAGAAATTTGATGAGAGCTGTTCCATGTCTGAGCTTGTTTGGGGGTAAGGCCTTCCTCCTGGTCCCATGGCCTCAGACTTCCAGTTGCTTGGTTTCAGAGTTCATTCCCGAGTCAGGACCCCACAGTGGTCGAAGGATCAAGAGGACTAATAGTGTCCAGCCTGCTGCGCTTTAGAAGGATGGCTCCCTCCTTAGTCACGCTGGTGGGAGAGAAGGCTGTGTTCTGTGCTTTGCCCAAGCTCGAGAGCTGTGCCAGGGCCGCTCTGCAGTGCCACCTAGTGCCCTGGGCATGGACGTCCCGCGGCAGCTGAGGCTGGGGACATCTCTTCCATAGCTCAGCACGAGAGCCTAGCCATTTCCTGCCAGGCCTCTGCTTCTCTGAGGTCTCGGTGCCTTCCTGGTGTCCTGGGTCCGGGGTCTCCCTTCCCTCTCTTCTTCATTACCCCATCCCAGGATTCAGATCGCCCGTCACCTCTGCTAGCAATCGTCCTAGAAAGTGTTTGTTCTCATTTTTTTCCTCGTGGCTGATACTTGTCCCCGTACCTTAAAGCTGAGTTTCCCTCATTTAGGCAGGTAGGGTGCAGCGTCAGTGTACAAGTGTCAGGTAACTGCCCTACCTTGTCTCCCGTCCTCCAAAACATCCCGTCCTTTGGTGCAGGTGAGTCCCTGGAAGTTGAAAACTGTCCTCTGCCACGCCCTCTCTCTCCCTCCCTCCCAAGTGTGTCTAGGGCTGTGGAATTAGAAGGTAGCCGTGGGGGAGGGGACCCCCCAGTGTCCTGACTGCTGCTTCCATTCTGTGAAAGGAAAAGGCCATGGTCTCTTAATTAGGTGGCTCGAGCACTTTTCCGGAATCAGGATGTTGCCTGGTTGGATTAATTAAACTTTCTTCCTCTGGTTCCCTCCTTCCAGCAGCGGTGCCAAAGCCGTTACAAGCTGCTTGCTTGGGGGAGACAGCGCCCCAGTTTGGGCACTTTGAGACAGCATTGGAGTTTTGGACGCTGCCCACTGCGTCCTTCTCCCCTTTTAAAGCAGCAGGGCACACACAATTCTTTCATTGCCCCCTTTTCCCCAGGGAAACTGCAACTCCTGGGAAAATGGGCTTTGCTGTACCAAATCACGTTCTTTTCAGATTGTGATTTAGGGCAGGTGACTCAGCGTCTGGGAGTGGAATCAGTGGCTGGAGAGAGCCAGGGGAGGTTGTGGCATAGTGGGCTGTGAGTGATCAGTATGGTGGAAGGGCCGACGCAGTGTGTGTACAACCTCCAGGGTCCCCAGCGGTCCTCAGACCTCACTTTAGGAACCGCTGACACAGGGACACTTACAAACCTTTCCCCACACACGTATACACACAGTCTGAGCCGGGAGGAAGCTCTGGTTTATTTCTGTCCCTGGTGCATGGCACAGTGCGTGCCATCTGAGAGGTGCCCTCAGTGTGTGAATGCATGAGGCCACACACAACTGTTTTATGGAAGCAGGTAGCTGTGTGGCAAAGAGAAATCGCTTCCGTTCAGCATTTACCTTTATATGGGGCACCTGGGAGAGTAGCAGGAAGTTGTCCCCAGCCTAGCCAGCCCATAGCCCTAGATGGTGACAGCATGAGCGAGCTTCCAGGGAACAAAGAACCCCTTCCTGTGCTGATGGCCAGCGCCCTCAGGCCCCGGAGGAGCCGGAGGAGCCGGGGTGGACGAATGGGCGGGCAGGGCAGACGGTGCAGGCACGTCCTCTGTCCCTGCAGGGAGTGGGTGCTGAAGAGCAGCATCCTCATAGCAATGGCCGTTTACACGTACCTCCGCCTGGTCGTGGACCACCACGGGACCGCCCAGCTGCAGGCCCTGCGGCAGAAGGAGGTGGACTTCTGCATCTCGCTGCTGCGGGAACGGGTGAGGACCGCAGTCTGGGGGTGCGGCCCAGCACAGGCATGTCTGTAGGTTCCTTGCAGTGACCTGGCCCAGAGATGTCCCGCTGGCAAGATGCGGGTGCCCAGGGCCCGGTGTTTTCCTAACAGATGAGGGCGGAAGGGCGGGGGATCAGCGTGGAACGGGCTGCTTCCCAGAAATGCCGCCTGTTACTCTGGCTAACCTAGGGGCTTTCCTGCTCAGCTGCATGGACACTTGTCACCACAGGCACAGGCTGTCCTTGTGTGCCCAGTGTGGTCTTCCTGTACGCCTACCCCCCTGGGTAATGGCCCTGGTCAAGTGGGATCATGAACGGCCCGCTATCAGATCTTCCAAGGGTGAATGACCCTCGGGCTAGGCGTTGTCATGCAGTAGACACCAGCCACATGTGGCCATTTAAATTGAAATTAAGGTCAGATAAAATTTTTACATTTAGTTCCTTAGCTGAATTAGCCACATTTTAAGTGCTTATTAGCCCCATGTGGGCAGCACAGATACAGATCATTTCCATTACCACGGAATGTTCCGCTGGACCGAGTGAGTTTTGGGGTGAGATGTCTGGGGTTCAGCTTGCCAATCCTTGCCCTTTAGGATCTTAGTCTCTTCTGACTTGGACGGAAACGGCTCTGGGAGGAGAGGGCAGTGGGCTAATGTGAAAACCCCAGGCCTTCAGCAGTTCCCAGCAACTTCTCCTCCTGACATCAGCCCCCAGCTTCCAGCCCTCTTCCCTGAGCAGCCGGGAGCCAGTCGCTTGGTTCCAGAAGAAACCGTATAACCCCTTCGACCCTCTTCCGTCGCCTCCCTAGAACATGTTGTCCTTTGTCCTCCCTGCAGCCGGTAAACAATCCGTGTTCTCACTCTCTTTCCTGTCTGTGCCCCCCACCCTCTCCATCCCCCACCAAGTTCATGGAATGTTTGATGATTGGCCGGGACCTTGTAAGACTCCTTCAGAATGTTGCCAGGATACCAGAATTTGAACTGCTTTGGAAAGATATCATCCATAACCCCCAGGCCTTGAGTCCTCAGTTCACAGGTAAGCGAGGGCCTGGCATCCTGTCCTTGAGAGGCGGGAGGTCCGTATGTTTACCGCTTGAATCCAGAGGGCCGAGAGGTTGGCGGGCAGGAGAGGCTCTGGCAGTCAGATATAGGAAGCCTGGGACCGGGCAGCCTCTGCCAAGCACAGCTGTACGTGGGAATGGCAGACGTGCAGAACAACCCGTGTGGTTCCCAGACAACCCCTACTTGGCAGGCCCCAGCTGTCAGTACCCCTAAGAAAAAGTGAGGCAGAGAACGGACCTCCTCCTCCTCCTCCTTGCCGGCAGCTGTTTGGCTCAGGAGGTGAGCTGATGACCAGCTTCCAGCAGGGGAGTCAGAGGTCAGCTCGTGAGCCTGAGTCAGCACAGGAGCTGGAATTAGTCCCGTAGAGAAGGCTCCTTCTGGGAGCCGTCTTGCCTCTGGATTCCAAAGGTCCAGCTGGGTCAGAATCCCCTCGGGGGGAGAGAAGAAGGCCCTGTGTGCCTCCCCTGACAGGCTTCTTCCCCCCTCCCCCTCCCCTTCCCCGGGTCCTGTTATGGTCTGAACAGTAAAGGTACAGCTTGACTCCCCACGCCGCCTCCAACGCGTGTGTGTGCGCGCGTGTATGTGTGCGCACCCAACACGGAAGCAGCAGCCCAGGACCTGGGGAGTCAGGAAAGACAGGGCAAAGCTCCACCTCACCTCCACTTAATTTGAACGTGGATCGAGTTGTTTGGAGGGCCTACTGTGTGCTAGGCACGTGTATTAATGCACTTAATCCTTAAGGCTTTCCTGTAAGATGGACATTTTACTTTCCACATCTACACATAAAGAACATGGCTCAAGGAGATTAAGTAATTTGCCCAAGGCCACACAGCTAGTAAGTGTCAGAGGCAGGATTTGGACTCCAAAGCTTGTGCTTAGGCCACAGCCCCACACTGATCCCAGGACCCAGTGAGGGGACCATCAGGAGCAGGAAGAGAGGCTGGGGTTGCCCGGATCCCCCCGTCCCCCACTCCCCCACATGTTGCCACCTGGAATAACACGAGTGGGGTCCCTGGCTGGCCAGCAGAAGGGAATGAACACGCCTGGCTCCTGGGGATGGTGGCTGGCTGGAGCAGACACACAGCTGCTGGTATAGCCCCACCGGTACCTAGGCTCCCCCTCTCTCGGTTTTAGAACTTCCCCATGAGCATCGGTACCTGGTACTCGGCCATCAGTACCTGGCCCAGGATCCCCGCTGCCATCCCTCCCTTCCGGTCGTCAGGCTTCTCTTTTCTCTTCCCCTCCACGCTTGGTCCAGGTATCCTGCAGCTGCTTCAGTCAAGAACGTCCCGAAAATTCCTAGCGTGTCGTCTGACCCCAGACATGGAGACTAAACTCCTCTTCATGACCTCCCGGGTAAGCTCGGCCACGCAGCAGGAGAAGTGGCAGGTGCTAGCCGGGCTGCCGCCGTCAGCCTGCCCGCCGGTCCCCATCAAGTCCTGATGAGTGGGGGGGCTGGTCAGGCGGGTGCCCCGCTCAACCTGGCATCGGGCGTGGTGCTCAGAATGGGGTACATACACCTGAGACTAATATAATATTGTACATCAACTGCAATCACAAAATAAAAAATAATTTAAAAAACAAAGAACGGGGGATACAGTATGAGGAGAGAGACAGTTCCATCTCTTCTGCAACGTCAGTCTGTCTAAAGCAGCCATTAAACCAGTAGCTGTGTACAAATAACTCACTGACGAGTGCGAAATGTGCCGAAAGGGGAGTGAGGGGTCCATGCTGAGAAACCCCCAGTTTCCCCGGGTGAACCATGAGCTCAGGACAAGCGCTGTCTTTTGGTTTCTAAACGTGGCTGACTTGTGTCAGAATAGCGGAGCATGTGAAAAATACATCTTCCAGAGAATCAGACTGGCGAATCTGTCTCTGTCACAGAATTTCCAGGCAACAGCTCGCAGCCAGTCTGGCACTGGAGAACCACTGCCCTGGCCAGCTTTGGGTTTCCTGAGTTGTGCAGGAGAACCGTCGGGACCTGTGCTGTTCCCCGCGTGGCAGCCCCGGCCGATTTAAATAGTTCAACTAAGTAAAATGAAAAACTCAGTGCCCCGGCGCCAGTAGCTACATTTGCAGAAAGTTCTTTTGGACAGTGTTGGTCTAGATGTTTTCTTGGGTTTTGTTTTTACCCTTCTGCTGTCTGTTTTGGTTGAATTTGGGGACCAGAAGAGGAAACTGTGGTCCTTCATTCGTGCTGCCCTGTGTAACCACCTAATGTCCTTTGGGGGAGGACTTGCTGAGGGAAGGTTGGGAGAGTCCGTGGACCTCAGACAACGAGCCCGTTAGGTCACTTCTGTCAGAAAGCTTTCGGTCAGTGCTGAGTGGTGAATAGGCTCAGCGCTTGTTCTCAAGGAACATTCCTTGCTGTTCACAAGTCGCTCGAGAAAATAGTAGACAGCTCATAACTGGAGAGTTAGTGACCAGGGTGGGAGTCAAGAGCCAGGAGTGGACTGCACGAGCGTTTGTGGGTAAATGTGACATCAGGTCGGTGGCAAGAATGAATACACCACCAGCACGTGGCTTTCAGCACCTTATTAAAATCCAGGAATATTTTAATCAGGAAGTCTTGAGAGACAGTATGAGTTAACGGATACATTGTGGGAAGACGCTGAGGTCTAGTCAAGCTGAGAGTTGCATGGCACTCGTTTTGATCTGCCCGGAGAGCCCAGCCTCCCTTCCAATGTCTCCTCCCCCAGGTGCGGTTTGGTCAACAGAAGCGGTACCAGGATTGGTTCCAGCGCCAGTACCTGTCAACCCCAGACAGCCAGTCTCTGCGCTGTGACCTCATCCGCTACATCTGTGGGGTGGTGCACCCTTCTAACGAAGTGCTGAGCTCAGACATCCTGCCCCGATGGGCCATCATCGGTTGGCTGCTGACAACATGCACGGTGAGAGGCGGGGCCGTGGGTGGAGGCTGTTGGGTTTCTCCCTCGCGTTGCCCGGACCTCCGTGCTGCTTCCCGACGCTCCAAGTCCCCTGCACCAAGGGCCCTCTTCACGCCCTGCCTCCTGAGAGTCGCAGCCTTTGCCCCATCTCCCTTCCTGTCTAGAATAATCTCTTGCACGCATTTCTTCCCATCTGGGTTTGGGGTTGAACGGGTTCATCTGCGCCTTTACTGCCAGTCCCCAAGCCTGGGCTCCCAGGCGGCCCTGCTCCCAGAAACCACGTGGGCTCAGGTCCAGGCCTGTGCTCCTCCAACCTCACTGCCATGTCCTTGGCCCAGCTTTGGATACGTCCCTTCTCCAGTCGTAGTGAATCAGCAGTGGAGCTGTTTTTCTTCCTGGTGCCCGGGGTGGGCCACTCTGCTCTCTGGCATCTAGTTGCCCTGTGACCTCTCTGGCGCTCCCCTCTGACTGGGTCCCTGGAATGTGCTGATGCAGCTGTAACAGCAGGCTATTCCTGGGGTCTCTCCTCTCTCCTTCAGGAAGGTCCCTGGGGAGCCCAGCAGGGGCTCAGACCAGTGCTGTCTCAGCTCAGGGGTGACCAGGGACTCCCAGGCCCAGGTGTGTCCCTTCTGGGACCAGGGTGTGTTCTGATATGAGAACCTCTGGGTTGGTGAGGCCACAGGGGACTCGCACTTGTTTACAGACTCGGCTGCGCCGCACCCCATGGGGGTTCCACCCTGTCGCTCTAGAGCCTGGGTTTTGAGATGGAGCAGTGTCCTGGGCGCTGGGACCTGCCTTGGGCCTCTGAAGGGAAGGGAGCTGGTTGATGCAACTCGCCCTCTCTGGCCCTCTGTCTTCCAGTCAAACGTTGCTGCCTCTAATGCCAAGCTGGCTTTGTTTTACGACTGGCTGTTCTTTAGCCCAGAGAAGGACAGCATCATGAACATAGGTACGTGACCGAGACGGGGCTGCGCCTCCCCCACCCCGCGCCCGCTGCTGGGCGCAGTGACAGTGGCATAAATCACAGGGCAGCGTGGCTGGAGGCCGCTTATCGCGAGCAGTTCCGCTGTCCCCGTCCGCGCTCCCTTGACCTAGAAGGAAAGTTGCTTTGATGAGGCCCAGCGGTCCTGCACCCTCCTCCCCGTGGCCTGATGCTTGGACTGGGGGGGGGGGTGTCTGCGCGGCGGGAAAGGCTGCCCCACATCCTGCCTCCTCTCCTGCTGCCTCCCTGCTCCAGGCTGAGCGCTGGGACCGGGGAGATGAGCGCTGTCAGCTGCTCGGGGGCTTGTTCTGTGGGAACGGGGGAGGGACAGGCACGCTCTCTGCAGCCATTCACACACTGATGGCTTGGCTTATGGAGCTGGGAACAGACTGATGCGGGGGCCCCCACCTTGAATTCCGTGTTCGCAGAGCCAGCCATCCTGGTCATGCATCACTCCATGAAGCCCCACCCCGCCATCACTGCCACACTCCTGGACTTCATGTGCCGCGTAAGTGCCACCAGCCTCTCCTCCTCGGGCCTGGCTGAGCCGCTGAGAGTGTCCCCTCTAACCACTTGACTGTGGGAGCAGAAGTGGTCGTGGGTCCCATCCGTTCCTCATTCCCACGGCTCCACTCAGTCTTGCCATGTCTCCATGGGGCTTGTCAGCCTCAGGGGTGACGACTTCACACAGAACCTCGTCTCCCTGAGAACAGCCGGGTTCACTCCGTTTCCCATTAGTAGCCTAGAATGGTCGGGAACGTTCCAGTCCTTTCTGCAGCAGCCACACTCGCTGCTGTTCCCGATCAAAACCCACGCAGCTTTCTGGCCCTAGTTCCGCAGGACACTGGATGGAAAGCCCTGTGCTCTCTCCCCCACCCCCCCCTTCCAGATCATCCCCAACTTCTCCCCACCTCTGGAGGCCCACGTGCGGCACGGCGTCTTCTCTTCCCTCAACCACATCGTGGAGAAACGCGTGTTGGCGTAAGCACTGTCTGTGTCCGAGGGCGGGTGGGGTGTTGCTCATGTTTCGGTAGGTCACGCTCGTCCAGGTACTGCCATGCCACCGTTACCCCGTACCTCGAGAGGTATAAAAAGGACTCCTGCCTCTCAGAGGATGGTTTTTCCTGCCACCACATTGTGAAGGGCTTCGGTTGCCTCCTCTGTGGCCTGGTGACCCGGTCCATGGATCTGCGTGTGGTCCAGGTGTCCTGCCTGGGCCCAAACCTGTCCCGGTACCTCCGCTAAGTTCGTAGCGCGGAGCTGTGATGTGCACCTTCCTTCCTGCCCCCGCTAGGCATCTGGCTCCCCTCTTCGACAACCCGAAATTGGATAAGGAGCTGCGGGCGATGCTGAGGGAGAAGTTTCCTGAGTTCTGCAGTTCACCCAGCCCCCCTGTGGAAGGTACGGAACCCTCCCACTCGGGCACCGGCCTCGCGAGAGGGTGGCGACGGTCAGGGCTGAGACCAGGGCCCCACGTAAGCCCCCTTTCTGTGCAGCTCTCCGCCTCTTGGACACTGTCCACTCGGTTCTCCTTCCCCAGTTCTCCTATGTGCGTTTTTGTGTCGTCTTCCTTGGTTCACCTTCTCTAGCTAATCTTATCTGCTTTTCGCTAATCTCTCTCGCTGCCTTAACCCCTGTTTTTTCTCGTATTAACCTGCCCTCAGTCAGTAGAGGCACCCGTGGAATGTGTTTACCTCCCGTTAGTCCCCTCTCCCCTTCCCAGCCCTGGGCCCTGGCCCTGGCGAAAGGTGACCATGCCGGGTCTCAGGTCTCGCTCCCAATTCCGGACACACACTTGTTGTTTTAGGGTAGGGGTTAAGCCAAGCCAAACTTCCCAACTTGGTTTCAAATTAAAGAGTGCTGGGACTGTCCTTGGTCTTATCTCCTCGCTGATTCTGAGCTGAGCACAGAGGAGTCGTGGCCTATGCTCTTTTCTTCCCAGCAGAATCCCCCTGCCCGTCCTGGAGGGTCCGGAGGATAAGACCTTCGTCCCTGCAGGGTCCACACACTGCTTAGGTCGTGAACTGTCAGTCCCTCACCTAGCCTGGCGCCTCCTCTTCCCCGAGCATGGGGTGAGCTAGAGGACACAGCAGGCCATCAAATGCCTTGTCTTTCTTGACTCCCAAGTCAAAATTGAGGAGCCAGTTTCCATGGAGATGGACAACCACATGTCCGACAAGGATGAGAGTTGCTATGATAACGCAGAGGCAGCCTTCAGTGACGATGAGGAAGACCTCAACAGCAAAGGTGAGACTGGCAGTGAGGGCAGGTCAGGGCACGTCAGCCCCTGGGGACCTGTTGGCAGGGGCAGCCTCTGTCACCCTCGCCTCTGTCAGTGAGCTTTTTTTTTTAAAGATGTTATTGGGGAATTGGGGAAGGGGAACAGACAAGTTGTTGTCCTTTTGTTCTTCAGTCTAGTTGTGGAGGACGTTGCTTCACTGGCCCATGTTGGT